ATCAATAAAGTGATATACCACATTAACAAAATGAAGGATAAAAACCACCACATGATTATCTCAACAGATGCAGAAAAAGCATTTTACAAAATTCAACATCTGTTCATGATAAAAAAAAACAAAACTAACAAAAAAATATGTATACAAGTAATGTAGCTCAACACAATAAAGGACATATATGATAAGCCCACAGCTAAAAGTGAAAAGCTGACAGACAAGGATGCCCACTCTTGACACTTCTATTCAACATAATACTGGAGATCTGAACCAGAGAAATTAGGCAAGAAAAAGAAATAAAAGGCCTCCATATAGTAAAGGAAGAAATGAAATCATCTCTGTTTACTGATGGTATGATCTTACATAAAGAATATCCTAAAAGACCCCACCAAAAAAACTGTTAGAACTGATAAACAAGTTCAGTAAAATTGCAGGTTACAAAAATCAACATAAAAATTAAGTTGTGTTTTTATACACTGACAATAAACCATCCAAAAAAGAAATTACGAAAACAATCCCATTTATAATAGAAACTAAAATAACGAAACTAAACAAAGAACTTAAGAGTAAACAAAATAAAGTAAAAAAAGCAAAGGTGGAGGCACTGCACTTCCTTATTTCAAAATGTATTACAAAGCTATTTTAATCAAAGCTGCAAGGTACTAGCATAACAACAGACATATCGACTAAAGGAACATGAAAGAAAGCCCAGAAAAAACCCAAGTATTTACAGTCAATTGATTTTGACAAAGATGCCAAGAACACACAATGAGGAAAGGGCAGTCTCTTTAATAAATGGGAAAACTAGATAGTCACATGCAGAAGAATGAAATTTGACCCTAATCTCACACCATAAACAAAAATTAACTCAAAATAGATAAAGGTCTTAAATGTAAAACTTGAAACTGTAGGCTACTAGAAAAAGACTGGCAAAAAGCTCCATGACAATGGTTTAGGCAATGACTTGCATAGAACTCTAAAAGCACAGACAACACAAGGAAAAATAGACTAGTGGGATTCTGTACAGCGAAGGAAAAATTAATAAAGTCAGGAGACAACCCACAGACTGGGAAAAAATATTTGCAAACCATATATCTAATAAGGGGCTAATACAAAATATACAAGGAACTCAAACAACTCAATAGCAAGAAATCAAATCACCCAATTAAAAAATGGGCAAAACTACCAGTGCCTCAGGGCCTGCCC